GTCCCTATTGTCAGGGTGAATTGAACATTTGGTCCAACGGTGCTTCACCACTTGTAACACCTGATCCTAGAAGACTGATCACACCACCTCAACAGACTTCGTACATTGTTACTCCTGTTGTAAAGTCTGCGTCTCTTACTCAAGCATTCAGAGACTCGGGCGGGAGCGGCGTTGTTGATATTAAATTGGAGAACCTACAGCCATCTGGTTCTGTTACTATGCGTGTTATGGATTATGCGGTCAAGATGATTGCGGAGCAAAGTAGTAAGGTACATATTGTCGTTTCGTCTACTGGTAACGCAGGCGTTTCGGCGGCCATAGCGGCATCTCATTACAAATTGGGTTGCACTGTTGTTGTTCCCGAAACAGACACCCACACGAAGGCTCGTTTAGAGCTGGAGGCTCCTCATACTAGGCTTGTGTGCTTCGGTACTTCTTACGATCAAGTTGTTGCTAAGGCTGAAAGTATTGTCTCGGCCGGCAATTCATCTGCTTCTAGTTTTGCTAATATTCCGATGACCCTTCTTAACGTCTACGGTTGCACCGACGTTCATATTGGCTACATGTCGATAATAGACGAGCTTACAGTTCCACCCGATGTAATTCTCTTACCTTTTGGTGGTGGCATTTTGATGTGTGGTATCATCAACAGACTAGTATCTCGTGGTTGGCACTCAACTCATGTGATTGGAGTTGAACCTGAGAACATTCAGCGCTGCAGCACCTCCTTTAGTGAGTTTCGCCAAATCGCCCCACCACCTGGCTCAAATACTGTGGCTTCAGGCCTCAATGTGGGTGCTCCATCAATGAAGTGGCTTTACATGCGTGTTTCTTCGCCTACAACAGCCAGTGTTGTCACTGTTACTGAATCAGAGATTGTTGATTCAATCAGAAGACTTGCGGAGGATTGTGGTCTATTACTCGATCCCATCTCAGCTGTTGCCGCTGCTGCAATCTATAACGGCGGCGTCGCTCGAGTTCAGAAACAAAAGCAGTTACCGCAAAATCTTAAGGTCCTTCTTCTTATCACTGGTGGTCGAAATATTTCACTTAAAGATCTCGCCGAAATGGAAGCAAGTGTTGCGAGGAATGATGTCCGACAACAGCCAGCTCTTCATGATAACGACCCTACTCAAAATCATCAGCCATTCTATCTGAAGACGGTTGATGACCTGTGCAATGACGATGATGATGATAAGGAACAAATAGTTTTACCGAATACATCTTCTCCTAAGGAATCTATTTCCTTAGCAGAAAGCTCTAAAGCTGTTGACTACGAAAATGTTAGTAAAATCAACGATAATAAGGACGAGGTCGTTGAACTCAACACTCTTTGAGCGCTCTTTGAGTTCAGTCCTCCTATCTTTCCGTCCTATCTTTGTTTTTGTGTGTGCATTTGTGGTCCATCAAAGCGATTTACTTTAGTTTGTACTCTAATATCCTCTCTTTTCCGTCTCTTTGTCTTTGCGTATTGATTAACTGACTGACAGAATGCAGCAGAACTGAAATGGACCAGAAGAGGTGCTCATTTGCATATGCTCCCTTCAAATCGATTTATTAATTGTTGCTGACTTTAATTTCTGGTTTTTTCATTTGTGCCAAGCGTCGGGTTTTAAGTCGGAGGAGTTTGCAACTGGGCCTTGATTATGCATTTATGTGTCCACTATTTTGTTTCTTCCCTCTACCTCTTAGTTTCCATGTTTCCCCTTCAATCGTAAAAATTTATATTCTCCTTTTTCTATTATGCATTTTGCTACTTTCCTATTCGCATTTTTTTCATATATTTCTTAAAATGCCGTTCTGATTATTATGAGGTAATCATTTCCTTCTTTTGGTGTCTGTTTTACACACTGCATTTTGATCTAGTAATTCTCGGATTTCTAATTTTTCCAATCGCTTTGATTTTGCATTCTCTTAATAAACGTGTTTTTGGTATTATTCTGTGAAGCTTATGTTTACGTCAGGGAGGTTTGGGGTTATCTTTGATGTTTTTTGTTTACAAAGGTCATCTGGGGTTTGTCTGTCTAGCCGCTTTGCTTTTGGGATCGCTGTTATCTAGCCTGGTCTCCTGTCGCTTCCATCTTCACCCATTGATGTGACTTGTCTCGTCTTTAATAGCGCAATGGTCAGTAATTTAGATTTGGTCTCAAACTGCTGAATTGGGTTAGTGCGCGGCATTTGTGAGCAATGGTCTAAACTGGTTATCGATTTTCTCATCCCTGTGGCTAACTAGGTTTTCGCGCACACTGGATTCGTAAAAAATTTATTGGAAAAATGTAACCGAGACATCTGTGGTTCTTTGCCAGCAGGGTGGATATTAAACCTACAAGTGTGAATGGCTATGGTATCTATTATTTCACCCTCTACTTGTCCCTGATCTCATAACCTTAACTAACGAAAACTCCACGTGATCCAGTTGTGGTTTGGATTGAATTCAATTAATGAAATGGATAAGATATTAACTTTGTTTATGCTTTTTGAAATTGGAAGTAAGTGAATATGAAAAACGCAAATTTATAAGCGCTTATGGGAAAAATTAGACTAAGGTATGGGATTGGTTGGCTTTGTTTATAATGAAGATAATTCTAGTGGAGAATTGTATGGATTGGTGATTGGTATCCCTATGGAATTCATATTTCATGAAATTTTCCAATCCCGGAAATGCATAATTATTGTCCGAAGAAAAGTAAAATTCAGATTTCGTAATAGAGAGTTTTAACATGATTTGCATCGAATGCGACGAAAATTTTACCTGAAGTCACAAGTGAATATTTGGTCTTTGCATCATCAGGTTTCTGAGCAGTTTATATTTGTTAGAAATTAATTCCCATGGTGAATCGGGAAATTTTCACTTTTTTATTTTCTTTCACTTGTATTTTCATTGTCACTCCTTTTGGAACAATAAAAAAGCTAGTCTTTGGAACTGGGCCCTATGCAAAGATGAGTTTTAATGCTATTTGGCCAACAGGTGGGGTTTCAGGATTTGTTTCCCAAAAGGGGGTATTCGGAGACATTCTTTTAAATGGACTTGAGAGTTGAATTGATTTAATAGAGAAAATTATCCTAGAATTGATTATTTATATCAAATGGCAGGCGTTTTGATAGTTATCGTTGGCCCTTTGGTTGACTTCAGGCTTCACAGAGGGGAAGGAACTTCAAAGCGAAAAAAGTCGAGAGGGGGTAGGGGGAACAGAAGAGTGTTTCAAAGATGTAAAAGAGACAGACACAAAGGTAGAAAAAAGGTGAGATGAGCACTGTGGAAGAGGTCAACAATGGCATACAGTGGGGTGATGGTAGTTTGAAGTGAGAAGTCAACTACCGGTTTATAGACTTTCTTTGCCGCATGAGTATACGTTGTCCAGAGTGCACCACGTGGAGGTAAGTCTATCGCACACCCCATGAAAATATATAAAAATATATATAATTCACTTTTAAAGTTATTGAACCTGAACATTTTGTTTTTTGAAATTTTGACATTAGATTTCATTTTGATTTACTAATTTTTCCAAATGTTGGGTTCTTGTTGTCAAATTGAAGTTGAGATTGTTCAGTAATAGCACATAATTAGGACCCTGGAGAAGTTATTCTAATAAGGTTTTTTCTATGTCAATTGACAAATATTTATGAAAGTACTTTGAAGAAAATTCCACATCACGACAAAATATTGAATTTTATTAGTACCACCCTAAATGTGTTTTGGCTATAAGAAAAATGAAAACAAAGCGTTTTATCAATCGCCTGTTTAAATAACTTATTCCTAAGCTACAGATGATGCAGATAAAGAAGAGAGGTAGAATTCTCATATGTTGGCAGCAGAACAATGATCAAATAGGGAATAACTCCTTCGATGCGCTTACTTATCTCCGTCAAATCGTATTCTGTTCATCCACATTGAATAAGTTTTTGCGGTTTTCTGAATTTTGACACTTTACATCATCGGAAAATTTAATTGTTCGCCATGCAGTGGGTAACAAATTAACAGGCTATATGCCGGTGAAAGGCATCGCGAAGGAAATTCTAATCATAAAGTTGACTATATAAAACTTACTCTCAGTAACCAGTAGTTTCAACCCAATGCTAGACAATGAAAGTCATCTAAGGAGAATTATGGGATTTTCTGTGTAACTTGCTACTTTCGTAAGCCCAGAACGGGCTAGGGTTAAGAATTTGGGGAACTAGGTGTTATTCCTCCTCCTCCTCCTCGATGCGATTCGCTTTAGACAATAGGAACTCGGATCCCCCTTAGCTTGTAGAAAAAAAACAAAATCGTTACGAGTCATGTATCATGTCTAATGACCCCTAAGGAGGCATGGAAACGAATTTACTTATCCTCTCTCTAAGCATGACTCATTTTTCCATCTTTATAGTTTTAGGCATGCCCAATAAATGTATTATGAATTCAAAAACGGACTTAAGTAATTTGATGTACATGCTGTTTTTTTCTCTTTAAAACACTCTCCGACAATAACTTCAAACTAATCAAAATTGAAATTCATGATAAAGCTACAATATATATATATATATATATATATATATATATATATATATATATATATA